CACTTTTGATTCCCTCACCTCATTCTCCACCTCAGCCACACTCTCTTACGAAGGATTTGACTCATTTGGCCCCAAATCCACGTGGTGGAGTGCCTCTCTTCCGCCTATCTACTGAGCTTTCTGCTGTTAATGGACGATCTCTCTGGGATGTCTTAATTGAGCCCCTTCCCCTTTTTGACTGTGTTTTATACATGCTCCAACCATTGCACCAAGAGACGAAGATTCACCTGGGGACCAAAGTCCACTGTAGAATCTAGAAACCCTCTCACAGCTTCTGGTCTTCCAACAGGTATTACAGTTTACAGCTGTGTCCTATCTTCTAGACTTGCAACACTGATGTCTGGTTTATATGAACTAAAGGTCTGGCTGGAATAGCAAATGTCTGCAAAGGAAGCTGGGCCAGTTGTCACCAAGGCCTGGACCACCCCTCACATTCTTTTCTCCACTAACCCCCATTAGCTAAGAGGATTATGACTCTCTTTTGCTGTTGTCCTCAGAATGTTTCTCTGGCTTCCTCTCCCTCCCAGGGACCCAATTTGGAACTGAAACCCTGAGGTGAGATCATCGAGGTTAGATAATTGCAATAACGGAATAATTCTTTACCAAGTCGCTGCGGTAACTCAGTACCTCCCCCTTTTGTGTCGATGCTGCACAAGGCTAAGTTCTGAATGTACAGATGTTCATGGGGCTATTTCTTTAAAAGCCTAGATATTAATAAATGAAACTACATTAATCCAATGTGGCAATCGGGTGCCGTGAACTAATCCTTACTTTAATTCTAAAAGCTGAACACTCTTGGCAAAAGAAAATGATAGTCAGAATTTCTCTTCCTTAGACATTTCATTTAGCCCCCTCCATTTGTCTTCTGTTTTCTTCCAAGATTTCCCACTACCAGGCATAGTACTTTTTCTTTGAACCACTCTCAATAGCCTAAGGTAGTCTAATTAAAGCAATGGATCATTCACTCTGCTTTTCAGTAATCCTATGGTGACTTAATGAACAGACTGCAGCAATTTCAACCTGGGTTCTTACTCACTGCATCCTAATTGTATGTAAGTACCGCACAATTCTGTTGAGGCTCCCAGACATTTCTTTCTTCTCCTCTTCAATGAAAAAGCAAACATTAATTGAACCATACCACAATTTGGGAAATAAACATTTCATGTACCTTGAAAAAAAAATACTTTCTCTAGTTATAACAAGCACCATTCTTGCTTATCTGAGTTTTCTTAATTTTCTACAAAGAGCAGGTACTAGTGTTGTTAAGGAAAAAAAATAAAAATTAATTGACAAAAAATCCTTGCAGCTGTCTTTAAGTCATGAGTCTGCCTATTGAAAATAGCATTGTGATGTCTTTATCTTCAGAGGTAAGTGTTTTTACTTTAGCTGGAAAAAATTAGAAGTGTTTCAACAAAAGAAATAGTGCATTATGGTTTCAAACCTCAAAGCATGTTAGGGAAGGAAACCTGAGATTTGCCTGAGATCCATCTCTTGGCCTGAGATCAACCTGCTCTTGGCCAGAGATCCATCTGCAAAAGGGAGGCTGGACGTCTTGGAAGAAGATTCTGATTGCATAATAGTGTCATTAATATCAGAAATGCTTTTCCATAGGCCTTTACATTGAGTTCATTTTTTGAATGAGACAGCTGGTCTTTAAAAACAACTTACTTTTTACTGTTACAGCGCTACACATGTATGGTCAAAATAATTCAAATGGTAAAAAGAAAGAGGTGCGGCAGGGCACGGTGACTCACGCCTGTAATCCCAGCACTCTGGGAGGCCAAGGCAGGTGGATCACCTGAGGTCAGCAGTTCAAAACCAGCTTGGCTGACATGGTGAAACCTCATCTCTACTAAAAATACAAAAAATTAGCCAGGCGTGGTGGCACATGCCTGTAACCCTAGCCACTCCGGAGGCTGAGGCAGAAGAATTGCTTGAACCTGGGAGGTGGAGTCTGCAGTGAGCTGAGATCGCGCCACTGCACTCCAGCCTAGCCAACAAGAGTGAAACTCCATGTCCAAAAAAAAAAAAAAAAAAAAAAGAAGTGCTGTGATAAAGATGAAAAGCTCCTGATATCCCAACTCTGTAGTCCTCCGAGATAATTATCATTTCTTGTGCCCCTTTTTAGAAATTCTCTGGGCATATACTCCCTCTGTCTCTATTCCTTTAAATCTATATATTATGCCACGTTTCTCCTCAAAACCCTGCAATTACCTTACATCACAATAACAATTTCATATCACACTGACCATTTCAAATCCCTTATCAGGGTTGATCACATCTACCAAGGTCCATCCCCCAAAGGGACCTCCCCCACCGACCTAAGCTTCCACCTCTCTCCTCTTACTTATTACCTGTGAGTCTACCTGCACTGGCAAGCTAGCTGGTCCTCGTGTACCCCAGACAGTAAACCATCTTAGCACACCTGTTCTGCTCTTGGCCTGACGCTCTTCCCCCAGATACTTGCATGCATCCTTTGCTTGCTTCATTCAAGAGTTTGTTCTAAATTCAACTTCAACTCCTCAGAGTGCATTTCAACACTCTCCTAACTACGAAGCTATCCCCCATCCACTGCTTCCCTATCCTGCACATAAGGGGCTTTCCTCATATGACTGGCAGTTCTTGATGGTATGGTCAAGATAAAGAGTGGGAGGAAGGAAAGCCTCGTGGAAGCTCCATGCTCATGCTGGTGTGGTGGGACCTGTCAAGTCTGAGTTTTACTTTAAGATATTTTGGGTGGGCCACTGGTCGGGCTGCCTTGATGTCAATATTTTCAGATCTGTTCTCTTGGTCTGAGCACATTCCCCAGAGAGGCATCTTACCTGTTAGGTACAGGCCAGACTGCCAGCTTTCTGAGAGCAAAGGAAAGGCATGAGGCTGGGTGGAAGAGGTGTCTTGGGAGTCAGCACTCTGTATTCCGGCAGTCTATTTAATTCCCCTGATTTTGATAGATCCAAAGGCTCTCAACTGTACTCCCAGTCCAGAAAACCTGTTTTAGAGTCTCTAGGGGAAGAAACCTTCAGAAATCTCGGAGAGAGGATGAGGGAGCAGCAGCAAGTGCCTTGTGTATGGTATAAAGGAGTCGGGAGATGTCAGTGCTTCCCAAACAACTTACGTGATTCTCCTTAATTTTGCAGCCTTCTATGCCCCATGAGCCAGAGATTTAGAGATTTAGTGCTGACAGTTCTCAACCATTTTGAGGATTCTGAGTGTAAATCGGGTTGGACTCTCAGGAGAGCCCCCACTGAGGTACAGGAGTATATGGGTAAGAATGCTCTTCTAGACAAAGGCAGTTGTTGAGCCCACGGTGGCTTTGAATGAATTATCAAAGGCACTCCTTCTTCCGGGAAGACACAGCCCCTGGCAGGGTGTGATGCTTGGCTGGAGAAATGTGTGTTCAGGATTTCAGCTTCAACTCAGCCTCCAGGTGGGCGTCTTTTTGCTGTAACCAAGCCACACACAGCTGCAGGCTTTCAGCTTCCTCCATGATTGACCTGTTTACACCTCGTCTGTTTCCTTGCATCCATTTTCAAGAAATGTGTTGCTGTTGTTGTTCTCAATATTCTTGTGGATTTATGTGCTCTTTGTAAATGTCTTTTTTATGGGATTTTAGCAGGGTGCTGGGAAAGAATAAAATTAAATCAAAGGGTTTATTAACTCAGAACGATGCTCCCTCTTCTGAATGCCTGCATTTTCCCATGTTGTCTGATTTCCTGTTTGTTCGTCATTATGTGGAAGGTATCTGTGTTTGTTCCGTACACAATTGTTGCAGACTCTGTCAAAAAAGGGTCTCATCTTGGTCCCTTACTTCAAGCCAAGTTGAAGAAAGAGGTAGAAATTTATGCTTCTAGCCATTAAGAGGAATGCCCAAAGACCATCTTTGAAGCTGTCTATTTTCATCCACTTTAGCCTTCACCTAACCTTTTAATAAGAGAATTAAATATGTTTATACTTTTTCATGTAAATTTCACACCCAATATAATGTTGTTACCTTAGATTTGCTTTCTTTTTTTATTCCCCTTTCCCCCTTTTTTAAAATTCTTTTATATATTCTGTATACTTTAATTTCCCTAAAGATTTTTTGCTTAGAATGATTTTTGATATGTACACTAATTTTAAATTCTACATTTAGGTGTTAATGTTAACCTGCAATTTATTTATGTAATTTTCTTTTTCATTTTATTAATTAACTAGAAATACTTTTGATACATTTTATCGAAAGATTACATATGAGGTTTATTTCAGAATTATTTAATATGAAATAGTAATTCTTTTGCCTTTATGATTATGTATCATTTAATATTGTGAAGGTCTGATCTTTTTTTCTTTAGAATTAAGTTAGGTGAAATTTTTCCTATGAAATCTTTCCTGCTAAGAACAGGGAGCCTGCTTAGCAGCCTGTGACCTACCCCCAACCCCTGGCAAGCATGGAAATAAAGAAAAATCTTGAGTTCTATGAAGGGAAATTCCAGGAAGTAGGTAGGCCTGAGAAGTAAATAAGCAACTTGATAAGAAGGTCACGGTAGCCTGAAACAGTAGCCAGGGAAGCAAATCAGGAGAATTGTTCCCTATAGAAACTGAAGCTAGCATCTTAACAGATGTTTCATATTTTAACATACACATATGTTCTTCAGAAACTCAGACCCCCACCAAACGAATCTGCTGGCACAGACCTCAGAGGAGGGGAAGATGAGGACGGAAGGTTGACTAACTTACTTTGTTCTAAATTTCTTCCTGAGGGGCCTAGAGGTCACGTACATGAACCAGAACCAGCATTCTTCTCTGATAACCCAAAATGTTTAGACAAAGCTTCGTCTCCTTAACCAATCACAAATCAAAAAAGCTTTGAATCCACCTATGACGCATGGCTCCTGCTTTGAGATGTCCCGTCCTTTAAAGTCAAACCAATGTAGAACTTCCATTGCTGATTTATGACTGCCTGTTGCTTCTTCCTTCCCACCTTTAAAAACCCTTACCTGTAAGCCATTGGCGAGGTCAGGACTGAAACAACAGCTGCTCAAGTCTCCATACTTGGTGGCCTGCAGATAAACACCCCTGTTTCTCCTGCTGCAAATCTCAGTGTAGATGTTTGCCTTACTGCACTGGCAAGTGGACCCCAATTTGGTTTGATAACATGGTGAAGTAGACTTTGTATTATATTTACATGTAAGATGTGTGTGTGTGTGTGTGTGTGTGTGTGCGCGCGCGCGCGTGTATTTGTGCATGCGCCTTGCTGAATTCTTTCTTTAATTTTGAAAGTCTAAATTTTACTATGATAGGTTGAGGTCTCTTTTTGTCTATGGATGGAATGGAAATACAGAAGACCAGCACAATAAAAAAGATGCCCAGACACAGAGGTCATCAGGGAATCTCAAAGTATCTGTAACAAGATACTTTATTTAAATTGTCAAGCATTTTTTATTGAATTCTAGTATGTATACAGAGAAGTACACATATCATAATTGTATAGCTTGATGGATTTCCACAAACTGAACACCTGTGTGTAACCAGCAGCCAGACCAAAAGCAGAACTCTGCCAGCTCCCAGGAATCCTCCCTGGGGCTTCTGTCTAGCTTTTGCCTACCCGCAAAGCAACCATGATCATGACTTCCAAAACCCTAGTTTAATATTTAGTTTGCAAACAATTTAAAGTTTTGATGATATGCAACTGATGACAAGATTGTGGGAAGAGTATATAAATACTCTTTATATTTATATACAAATTGCATATCAATTTTTGCAGATGTTTGGAGAGCAGCTAGGCAATGCCCATATTCTTAATTTTTATTTTTTTTTAAGATGGAGTCTCTGTTGCCTAGGCTGGAGTGCAGTGGTGCAGTTTTGGCTCACTGCCCTCTGCCTCCCGGGTTCAAGCGATTCTCATGTCTCAGCCTCCCGAGTAGCTAGGGGTTATAGGCATGTGCTACCATGCCTGGCTAATTTTTGTGTTTTTTGTAGAGACCGGGTTTCACCATGTTGGCCAGGCTGGTCTCAAACCCCTGACCTCAGGTGATCCACCCACCTCAATCTCCCAAAATGCTGGTACTACAGTGTGAACCACTGTGCCCAGCTCATCTTCTTAATTTCTCAGTTTTCCTTTCAGTTCATTCATTTCTTACTCTCCTTGTCCTCTTTAATACAGGTTTAATTGTTTCCTCTTACCTAATTATGATTCATCCAATCAACGTTTGCCATTGTACTTCCTCAGAAAATAGCCTTGCTCTTAGAGATGACTGTGAATGTTTTGGCCTGTGGTGTCTCTCAAACTCCTTAATTCCGTGCCGTCTGCCAAATATACCTTGGCTTAAAATATCTCTTTCAATGCCACCTTGTCCTTCTAGTCATCCTCAATTGCTTTTATTATTTCCCTAATAAATATTGAAATTTCTGCCAATTGCAAATATAATAAAGCTTCTCACAAATGGAAAAAAATGGAAATGATGTCTATGAAGCGTCTACTACAGCAACTAACACAGAGTTTTGTTTGAAATGTTAGTTTCCTTCCTTTCCTTCCTTTTCCTTTCATTCAGAAAGCCTCATTTACCCTCAAAACAGCTGTATACTGCATGAAAATCACTCTGAAGCACTTGCACCGTGTATAAAGAATCCTTTTCTCTTTCAGAGAAATGTTCATTGGTGCACCAAATTTTTAAAAATAATATTTTTGCTTATTATTTTAACAGTGATAAATGCAATCTGTAAACTTGGAGTTTCCTACAGACTAATTATACTGGGATGTTTCCCGACTAGTAAAATCCTCATGGTGTTTTACACTCTGGGACAAGAATCATTGGACAAGAAATGAACCTGCAGGAACTGAGGGCAGGCAACATGAAGCATTTAGACACAGGACACAGCGTACAGCATTCACATGTGTGGAGCACACAATCATGCATAGAAGTCAGAACAGGCTTCCCATGCAGAGCCTGCTGGGCTACACCCAGCATTTAAACATAGTGGCATTTAGCCTCATTCTTCCCGTTTCCGTATTCCTCTGATATGATTTCCCTGCAGGTCGCTGTGACTTAATTTGTCTGACAACCAAGATTTTGCTACAGTGCCCCAGAAAATATTTACTCTGTTAGTGGCCTAATTTTCTGGGATCTAGAGAAGTAGGCAAGAAGACCAAAAAAACTGACATAATTCTTCAAAGCTGCACTGTGAAAGGATTTAAAGATATAGTTGTGGAGTCCATGAGGATCATTAGTAGCTTAGACACCAAAATGAAATAGCATCTTGCACTCAGAGCAGGCTCTTTTCTCTCTGTCGTTTAAGGAGACACGCTAAATGCCCATGCAAGGACATACACTTTGAGGTGTCTTTTTACTTTCTGGTTGAAATGGATTTGTACTAAACTCCTTCATCTGCCTCTTGCTGTACTATTCCATCCGACTTTTAATTTATGTATCTGCTTATTTATTTATTACCGAAAGCTTGGAAAATAATCTGCAAATAAATAGCCCTTTCAGAGATCAATTCCCTAACTAGGGTTTCATTAGTACCTCTGTCCCCCATTTTCTTTGCTGGAAGGCAAAGCTTTATATGATGAAGTTAGTAACTGACAAGTCCTTGGTCTTTCAGTTTCACCAGCCATTCTTCATTTGTTTTACCATCATCACTAATGTCAATAGAACCCCTTCTTGGCTCTCGATCTTCTGAGCCTCTCAAACACTTTGTGACTTTAGGGATCGTAATAGTACTCTATGACTATTTAGAATGTAAGGGAAATTAGAAGCTGTGGTGTACGCCTATAGTCCCAGCTATTTGGGAGGCAGAGGCAGGAGAATCGCTTGAACCTGGGAGGCAGAGGTTACGGGGAGCCAAGATGGTGCCACTGCATTCTAGTCTGGTGACAGAGCAAAACTCTGTCTCAAAAAAAAAAAAAAAAAAAAAGCAGCAGCTCAGCTTGGAAACAACTATTTTTTTATATACACTTGTGATCTTCAAACTTCAATTTTCAGCTGCTTCTGGGATATTACCATTCAAATGTTCCCACTCTCTCACTTCAAAATAAAGACACCTGGAACTCAACTGCCTGTCTTTCTGTCTCCTAAAACCAGCTTCTTGTTCCCATTTCCAACATTATTCTGGTTAAATTTCCCAAAGGACTGGTGATCTGACCTGGAATCAGAAAGGGACTGAGTAATTTATTTTCTTCTTCATTGGTTAGAACACGATATTATTAGTTTCTAGAAGGTAGGAATTACTTTTTATGATGTGTATCCCCTGCAGTGACTTGTAAAGTATCTCAGTGAATATCTGTTAAGCAGATGATTGATTAGAATGCTGTGCTAAGTGAGCCAAAATATTTTGCTTCCCGAATGCAATCATCTGTTAGCTAACAATTGATAAGATAATGTGAATATATAAGGTCCTACCCATGTCTGCTACTACCAAAATAATTCCATGTGCCTGCCTTACTAATGGTGGGTGGGTGGCGGAGTTCCTGGTTTCTAATTATTAGTTTTGGTCCTGTTTAACCAAACTTTTTGGGTGGACAGGGAAGGAAATAAATTAGGCTTTACTAACATAATTGCAACTGGCTCTTTGGGAGTAAAAAATACAAAAATTTACCCTGAGACTATCTTCAATCATGGGATGAACATAATAGTACCTGAAGCTACCAAGAACAAGATAAAACAAAGCAAACCAAAATCAACAGCCCTCATTTCAAAAGTGCTCAAACTTCCTTATAAATGTAATGATTCTGTGTGCATTAATTACTTTGTGCAATACACCATTAATGAACTGTATATAGCCTAAATTCTTCAAAGGCATTTTTTTTTTCTGAAATAGAATGGATCTTCAGAGACTCTACCCTACAGTGATACATGAACTTTTTACTTTGATGCAAGAAATATATCAGTAGAGGCTTGCTGAGGAGTGCCTGGGAATTAACACTCTATCCTTTAAGAATTACCCTGGAGTCCTAAATAATTAGTCAACTATGCATGTTTTTCTCTAGCTTTCTAAGCTAACTATATTGCCATAGGAAGGTAGGCGGGCAGGATTAAGGGCTTTGCTATCAGATGACAATGGCTTGAATGCCTCCGATGCTAGAAAGGTGCCATGGCTACCTTGTGTGAAGTTTGTAATGGAAATGATAAAATGTGAACTGCTTGGGAAAATGACCACCTTTTCAAATGATTGTTGTGAAACCTATTCGCGATGTTCCCGTTTATTGCAGTTTCTTCTTCCAAGCCCAGAATTAACAATCAAATGTGTTTTACTGGCTATCTAACATGTTTTTCATTAAAACAAGTTCTGTCTCTAACAATAATAAAAAATCTGTAAATGAATCTACTTTACATGGTGTGGAGGCTGTGTTTACCCTGACAATTCTTCTGTGTAGATCCATGTCATTTATTCATGTAATTAACCATTTGTTGCCATGATTATTGTTGTTCAGCAATTACAATCGAGCACCCACAAAACAAAGGAAAATGCTTGTGCTAAGGAAGGAGGCAGTAAAACCATAAATAAGAAAGTATACGAGGAGTTCAGAGTATAACAGCATAGCAATTTAGTACATGTTGCTAATCACCAAAATAAAAGCAGAGGATTAGAAATGTCACCCACCCATCTTACCCCAGTTTACTCCATCCACATCGGCCACAGCCACAATGCACATGAGGGAAGGTTTTCACTTCCTCAGACTACCTGGCATCTGGATCTGGGCCTCATTTTCAGCCTTGAAGAGCATTGTTCAAAGTCTTTGTCTCTAAGTGCCCTCATTCTTCTCTTTCATACTCTTCTCCCGTGGATAGATCTTACAGATGGGTCTTTCTAATAAAGCACTTTTATTGCTGCACATCTGACAGGATTTTTAATGGGTCCACCTACCCTTCCATTGCACAGAATGGGGTTTAAAACTCATTGTACTCTTTACCCAGGGCACCATTTCATAGCAACTATGACTCCGTCCCACTGCTTTTAGCATTCCTGATCACAACCATGACACCCTCTGGCATGCCAAGTACAGCAACATACAAATGCAAACAGGCAAAGAATTC